CAACTCCTCTGTTTCACTAATGGATGAACTAGCTGCTTTATGCTGCTTTTAAGTATGTGCCTTATAAACATAGGATTGGCCAGAAACAGTGAAGGAATGCTCCAAGGTCCCTGGAAGGGCCACAGAGCTCTAATATATAATCTTCCCAGCCCTCTCACAGTACCAGTGAGAATCTAAAATTATGTGATGTATGTGAAGTGTTTTGCAAATTGCAAATGGCTATGGAACTGTTTGTTGTCTTCTCCTTGCTTCCGGTAGAATCTCTCCTGTCCTCCAAGAGGAATATGGAAAGCCTATGCCAGGACACCTCCTCTGGTGTATTTTAGCAATCTGCTGTTAGCCCTCAGTGCTCAGGTCTCCAGAGTTGCTGCTTCTTTCCCAGAATATCAAATCAAGATTCCTCATTTGGACTCCATATCCCTTCCCCCTGTTTAATTCTTCTCCCCTCCGGCCTTCATTTCTTATGGCATTGGCCCAAAGAATATCCACTCCAATATTCCTAAGACTTGCTTCATTTTGCTTAGCTCTACAATTAACATCCTTGGTGTGAGCAGTCAGGAAATAAGGAAATGTATTGCACTGGAAAAATCTGCAGTTAGTGACTTCTCCAAATTATTGAAGAGTAATGATGTCAGTTTGAGGACCGAGGTGTGTCTGATCCAGGCCATAGTCTTTCTGATGACTTGCTATGTATCTGAGAGCTGAAAAATAAATAAGGATGACAGAAAAAGAAGTAATGTCTTTCAGTGGTGTTGGAGAAAAGCCTTGAACATCCCATGGGTTTCCAAAAGAACAAAGAAATATGTGTTTGAGAGGGTGCAGCCAGAGTGCTCTTTGGAAACAAGAATAATGAGGCTTCATCTCACATTTTTGGGGCATATGGCTAGGAGGGGCTATTCCTTGGAGAGGAACATGATGCTGGGAAGGGTGGAGGGTCGGCAAAGGAAAGGAAGACCCTCAACCAGGTAGACTGACACAGTGACTGCTGCACTGGGCTCTTGTGTATCAAGAAGTGTGAGGATGGCACAGGATAGAGCAGGGTTCAGATCTTTTGTTCATAGGGTTACTATCAGTCATACTCAACTCAACAGCACCTAACAACAACATTCCTAAAATTCAAGATCATAGTTGCCTCCACCTGTTCATCAGCCCTCCATGATTGAGATGATCAAAGCATCCAGAGAGAAAGGAAGGGCCATATTTTCCAGAGATTAAACAAACAAACAAACAAAAAAACCCAAAACCACCCATAAGGGTATGCACACTCCTGGGGAAAATCAAACCACACTCTGCCATAAGGCTTGTGGTGCCAGAAAACATAGCTTCATTTTATAATTTTGGCTAAACATCATAGAGTCCTTGTCCTCTCCATGGCTCCATACTTCCCTAACATCTAACTATGGTTCTTCCAAAACACAACACAAAGAGTGGAATTCTTTCCCTCTCATGCTCCATTACATGAATGCTTAGGGCACCAAAGATGTGAAATGCCACCACACACACATCTCCATTTCATGCTCCGTACCCTCTCCAAACTTTTTACCAAATAGTTAGCCAGTTTCTGCTTAATGGGAAGCTAACTCCCCAAGAGAACTCCACCACCTCAAGATCAGCCAAAAAGCACTTCCTCTGTTATGTCAGTGTGGAAGGTCAGTGAAAAAGAGGAAGACCCTCAACAACATAAGCTGACACAGTGACTGTAACAATGGGCTCAAGTATATCAGAGATGATAAGGATGGCACAGCCAGGGCGCCGTTCAGATCCATTGTTCATAAGGTCGATGGCACCTAACAACAACTATTATGTCAAGTATGCTACAGTCTCTCATCTGCCATTTGGGTGTTTAGCTGAAGCCAATTCCTCTTTCTGAGAATCTTATATACCACTTCTCTATTTCTTAGGTAACTAGGTTTCTGATTTACCACCACCACGTCTACCACCATCTTGGTCACTGTCCTCTGGATAGGATCCATTTGTTAAAGACCTTGGGGCTCGTAGTGCGCGGAGCAATCTTAACCATAGAAGAGAGAAAACAGGCTCTGAATTATATTTACTTCTTGGTTCCCACTCTGTCTCCAGTGGCCACCCCTCCCTATTAACTCAAGTGTTCTCAGTGCCAACTGAAAACTCTAAATCATCATTACACCCCCTGCTCTTTACCCATGTCTTCCTTCCTTGCCCTGGAACGCTTGGCTTTTTGTGGTTGTTTTTTTTTTTTTAACTCTCAGGGTAGAACATGACATCATTCCACTCCTTGGCTTCTTCCCATTGGCCAGCCCCTCTGTCGTCCTTTCCCTTTTCTGATCCATCCTCCCAGAGGCCTGCTACCAAGACAGGTGCAAGAGGAGTAACTTGTCAGTGAGAACATTGGGGTGTGCCTAGGAAACAAATGTCTTATCAATATGAATCACAGTCATTAATGAACCTCATATCCAAATTCCACCTGTATTCCTCCAGGGAAGAAGAAGTAGGTCACATCTTTTCTGTGACTCAGAAATACCATATAGAATAAGGTGATCACTTAACTTGTTCTGTCTTTGAATTCCTGCATCAACGTCTCCTCTCAAGATCAATGAAAGATGCCTCTGCCCATGACACTGATTCAGTTAATGAACCCAACTCCCTTATCTCCTCAGCCTGGCTTCTCTTGTCTAGCTGGGCAGGCATGTTCTCACTCCCTCATACGCATTTACCCTCACTTAACTTTACATTTCTAAATAGACTGTGCCCTGTTTGGAGGGGGCTCTTCAGAATTCTTGATCTCCTACCACGCCTGCCCTCAGCCTCTGCTGTGGCCTGGCTCTACAGTCCAGCTTTCCAGAATGTGTCCTGACCAACCTCCCTTCCCCACCACCGACACCTCCTGCAGGTGCCCCAGCTCCTGTTTTGCTGGATCTGCCTGTGTTCTCAAAGAAACAGACACACATTTGGACTCCTTCTCTGTAATAGTGGAACCTCCTTTGACCCCTTAGTAGATCAGTTGGGTTGTGAGTGCTTTTGTTTTCCCAGAGCCTAAAATACCACTCTGCACACAGTAACTCCAGGTCCTTACCATCAAGTCATTTCCAACCCAGGACATCCCAGAGTAGAACTGAGCTGCACACGGGTTTTTGTTTGTTTGCTTGGGTTGGGTTGGGTCTGGTTTGGGTGACAGTGATTTTTATGAATGCAGATCATCAGACTTTTATTTAGAAGTACCATTGATGTGCTTGAACCAACAACCTTTCAGTTAGTAGCCAAGTGCACACTCTTTACGCCACCCAGGTACCTTGCCACACAGTATAGGGTCTAACAAATGTCAACTGGACAAATGTGTAACCAACTTTTGACTAATTAGTCACTTTAGGGATTAGGGGTACTATGTCTCCAAGGTTCTTCAAGATTATGTATTGTGTGAACCATAAGAAATAGCAAAAATAACACACTATTAAATTCCCAAATGCACATGGATACGTGCATTCAGAAGCCTGCAGAAATGAAAGAAGAAATAATTCATCTCCTTGACAACCAGCAGTTTGATATCACAGAAAAATTTATTATAGAAGCACCAGAAGGCCAAGCCTTTCAAGGTACAACCTTCAACTATCAAGAAAATTATGAATTCACAAGCACTTCCCAAGGGCCCCACATTGAACTTGTTAGAAGCCCCTGTATAAACTTGGAAGGTTGTGTGAGGATCCCACAATCATAGATTTCCCCATCATAGAAACAAAGCCACCCCTCTCTGAAGGCCCATTGCTTGGCTGATACTTATGCCTTTCCATCCATTCAGCACAACTCAACCACCTTCTGTAAGAGCAAACTATGAGTCATATTCTCACAAACTGCTGAAGGCCACAGACAGACAGAGAATAGGAGAAAGAGCTTGAGAGTTCTGGGAAAGGGCATTTGCCTGACTTGCAAATAGCCAGAAGCTTCCAGACTGGTGCAGGATTGGAACCTTCACGAGACCCAAAACAGATCCTCAGACTCCTCAGACCCTGGGCATCTGGACAGAGCAGAACTGGGTTCACGTGCCCACCCAAACAGACAATTTCCGGGAAGGGCTTAAAAACCATAGCTCAGAAAAGGCCAGGCTGTCAACTGAATGGAACTGTCAGGAGAGGCAGGACTGTTTACCCATCAACCCCTCCACTCACTACGAAGAATAGTGCTCCAGAGCTGTGGACAAGGAGCCCTCTTCAAAGCTCTCACCCTGGACTGTTAACCCAGGGGCAAACGCTCTTGAGACTGAAATTCAGAACCAGGAGCAGGTATAACTTCCGGGAGTCTTGGGTAGAAAGAAAATGTCCATTCCCCATCAACTGAAGGATGGAGGCTTATAGACCAAGAGGCAGGAACTGACCCCTGGTACAGTTTCTCCCCTTATCAAGCTTGTTTGCATTACTATTAGCTAATGCCTAAAGCAACTAGTTGGTGATCCCTGGTGAGGAGGGGGGACAACACTAGATTAAAGGAGTCCTGGTGTCACAGGCATTAAAGCACTTGACTGCTGCTAACTGAAAGGTCAGTTAGTCCCAGTGGGCCAAAGTTGTGGAAGTCTAATTCCGTTCAGATTTACAGCCTTTGAAAACCTTACTCTGTCCTATATTGTCACCAGCTGGAATGGGCTGAACAGCTGTGAGGTTTTTTGTGTTTCGAAGACTGGCTTGCTGCTCTCAGAGAAGACCAGTGAAGAAAAGGCAACGCAATGGTGCTGAACATTTTTCTATCTCTCTTGTAAACCTGCAGGCTCCTTTTCCCCATCATTTCACTTGACCTCTAAGTGTTTACAGGACAGTTAGCCTGCCTATGACTTTCCAAGTAGCTTCCTCTAAAGAGGAAGAGTTACCCAACCTGCTTCTCAAACTGGAGCTGAATTATTTAGCAGAATTGATGAGACCTATCAGGAAAAGCTAAGTGAGAGGAAGTCAGGAAGGAGCGTGGGAAGAAAGGGCAGAGAGAGCCAGGCAGGGGATCCATGTCTGAGGGGCGGGGAGCCTCAGGGCCGGCCGTAGACTCTACTCCACGATGCGCTTGTGGGAGGTGTTGGTAGAAGTTTGGATGATCTGCACGCGGGAGTTGCCGCCGCTTCTTCCTCCGTACTTGCTACTGCTTTTACTGCTTCCTCCGTAGCTCCCGCCGCCGCTGGTCCCGTAACCGCCTCCACTAGCCCCTCGGGAGCCCCGGCCATAGCTGCCCCCGGCGTCCCCTCGGGAGCTGTTGCCCCCGTAGCCTCCAGCGGCGCTGCCGCCTCCGTAGCCTCCAGACCCTCGGCCTCCTCCACCGCCGCTGACTGACACCTGGCTGCTCTGCACCGCTGTGAAAGAGAGAGCACAGAGGGGCGTCAGAAGGACTGGGCAGGGGCTCACGGGCACCCGTCCCCCCGAGCTGCCCCTGCCACCTGAATCACTGGTAGCATTTGACTTGCAAACAGAGACACCTAAAATAGTCACGTTTGCAAAAATCTATTTATATTACAAAGAAGTCGCAGGTGCTCTCTAAGCAGTACTTCTTTTTTTAAAGTGTCTGTGGCTACATTTTTAGGAGCCCTGGTTGTACAAACTGTCCAGTGTTTGGTTGCTAGCCAAAATGTTGGCAGTTCAAACTCGCCCAGTGGGTCGTCAGGACGACTTGATACACCCTCTTGTCAATAAGACAGCCTAGAAATCCCTACTGGATGGCTCTATGCTGTCTCCTGAGGTCACTGTGTGTTAATAGAAGGCACCCAACTTGAGTTCTGAACCACTGCTGATTAGTTGTTTTTTGGTTGCCATGGTGTCGATTCTGACACAAGGTAACCCCGTGAGTGAAAACTAGAACAGCTCCATAGAGTTTTCAAGTCTGTGGCCAGTTCAAATAAGATTGTAAAACCTGTCTTCCTCATGCCTTTGAGTGGGTTCAAACTGTTAGCCTTCTGGCTGGCGGTCAAGTACTTAACTCTTTGTACTAGCCAAAGACTTAGCATAAAACTGAGATAAAACAAAACTGAAGCCACACACTTTATTAAACAACTTCTTCCAGGCCTGGTGATGGTGGTGTCTGCTTACTTGGGTTTTCATTTCATAGTCCTGGAAGCTAAAATACCAGATTGTGGGTTCCTTGCTGGCCCCCTGTCAATCTTCCTGGACCCTCCTTTGCCCAGCCCTAGCCCACCCCAGGCCTGGGCTCTGTTACTTACAGATGCTCACTTGGTTTTGCAAATCTCCTGACATCCTGCAAAAGCGAAACACATGTCAACCAGACCCACACAGCTTGAAGTTAAAAAATTTGAAGCTGGGCTTCAAAACGGTTTGTTCCAGCTCAACCCTTTGCTAATACTTTGCATTTTCACCCCAGACAGACTGAATCTGTATCTACAGTTTAACAAGATTCCAGGTGATTCTTGAGAAATGCAAATTTGTAGCAGGAGAGTCAAACCAGAAGGAACCAGTTTGAAATCCAGGCCTAAAGACACTGGGAGCTGGGATGTCTCTAAGCCTTTAGGCAATTTATGAGAGGAGTGGGGCCAGCTGAAACTCTGCACATTTTCATGAAGCCCTTTCGCACCAGGGATCACTACCTGGCTGCATTGGCTTTAGGTGGGCGGTGGGACCATTCTTGTTGAAGGGAGAGGGAATTACAATGTCTTCTGATCCTTTCAGTTAGTGCACCCTTTGCTTCTAACTTGCATGCTTCTGCCAGCCCTGAGCACTGGATTAGTAAATCCAATGGGATTTATAATAATCCAGTGTGACTGGTAAATTTTTTGGAGGAAAAAAAGGAAGATTGTCTTCTCTTCAAATAGTCTTTCCCACTCTTCCAGGACCAGTGCATTTTGCATTTTGGCCCAGAAACCTGCCTCCTTCTTTCCCTCATTCCCACCAAGCCCACCTGATCTCCTCGCCCTCCAGCAACTTGCGGTAGGTGGCAATCTCCATATCCAGGGACAGCTTAACTCCCAGCAGAGCCTGGTAGTCACGCAGCAGGCGGGCCAGCTCCTCCTTGGACTGCTGCAAGGCCTCCTCCAAGTTCTGCAACTTCTGCCGTGCGTCCTGGATGGCACGTTCTCCTCTCTCCTCAGCATCTGAAATGGCTGAGTGCATCTGCTCAATCTGCTCAGGAGCCAAGCATGGAAAGAAACCAGGCAGGAGTTGAATTTCAGGCACCAGCTCAATCTGACAGGGTATTACGGGAGGTGGAGCACCCAGTTTGCCCACTCAGAGCACCCATCCCACCTGCTTCTTGATGCTGTTGATATCTCCCTGCAGCCTCTGGATGGTACGATTAAGCTCAGCAATCTCCATCTTACTGTTCTTCAGATCATCTCCATGTCGCCCCGCTGTGATCTGGAGCTCCTGGTACTGAGGGCCAGATACAGGTCATCACGTTAAAGAAGGAGCCAAGGATGTGGCCATAGACACACTTATAAACGTGTCTAACTAAAAAGTGAAAGTCTATCCTTCTAACAGAATACAATGCTGCTATTATGAATGATGTCTATTACTTGATGTCCCAAAAAAGTCAATCATTTGTAATAAGTGGGGGGGGGGGGCGGGGGAATGACAAAACTGTGTTTTTAAAAAATACCATTCTGAAAAAACTAAAGAATTATAGTAGTTAAGAGCATAAATATTGTAGATTCACACCTAAGTCTAATTAAGTTCGGACTCTGCTATTTAATCGCTACTAAACCTTGGAAAAAATCTGTAATTTCATACTCTATTATAACCTATATCATTATGATAGTGAAAACCTTGTCTGATAGGGTTATTGTAAAGATTAAACAGAATAATGGACATAAAGTACTTGGGACAGTGTCTGGCAATGTGAATTCTTGGTAAATGTTAGTTATGAAGAATTGGTAGAAAATATACTATTGTACTTATCAGCAGCCAAGAAACTAAAAGATGAAATGCATTGGGACAGTCTGCTGTCTGAGACCTCTCCAAAGTACTGAAGAGCAACAATGTCAGTCTGAAGACTAAGTTGCACCTAATCCAGGCCATGGTCTTTTCAACTACTTGCTATGCATCAGAGAGCTGGACAATGACTGGGGGTGATAGAAGGAGAATTGATGCCTTTGAACTGTGGTGCTGGAGAAGAGTAGTGATTATACCACGGACTGTTACGAGAACAAACAGGTTTGTCCTAGAGAGGGTGAAACCAGGCTGTTCCTTGGAGGCAAGGATTCTGAGGCTTCGTCTAACACACCTTGGACATGTTACAAGGTGGAACCAGTCCTTAGAGAAGGATGTGATGCTTGGGACAGTGGAGAGACACCAGAAGAGAGGAACCCTCAATGAGATAGATTGGTTCAGTGATTGCGGTTATGAGGGTAGGTGTGTCAGAGACAATAGAATTGGCACAGGATAGAGTAGGGTTTAAGGCTGTTGTGCATAGGGCCACTGAGTCGCAGGTGACTCGACGGCCCATAACAAAAATATTTGTATTGGTAATGGAATTATGGGCAATCTTTACTTGTATTTTCTATAACAAGCATATCTTACTTTAGAACTAAGACATTAACAGTGCTAGTTCTGGGTGTGTCTGATTGATTTTGGAGTACTAAGTCTGAAGCTGGTACTCACCTTGGTCTGGTACAGAGTCTCAGCCTCATCCTTGCTCTTCTGTGCAATTATCTCATACTGGGTCTTCACTGCTTCAATGATGCTGTCCAGGTCCAGGGAGCGGTTGTTGTCCATGGACAGGATGACATTGGTGTCACTGATGTGGGTCTGCATCTGGGACAGCTCCTGGGAGGCATGGAACACAGGTGACTCCTCCCACACTCCTCCAGGGTGTTGGGATCCTTCTGCTGCCCTGCCAAGGCTTTCTGGGGAAGTCAGAAGCCCAGGCCAGGTGCGAGTCCTGAGAAGAGTTCTCTGAATTGTTGTCTTATTAATGTGGCTTAATGAAAGGGAATAAGGCCCAGACCTAGCTTCCAGGGAGAAGGAAGGAGCCTAAGTTCAGAAGATGCCAGCCTGGTAGACACCACCTCCCTCTACTGCCCATCTTGTACCCTCATCCTGCTTGTCTGTGTCCTGAGCCCACCCTTCTGACAAGACAGCCATGCTCCTGGAAACCACACACATCTTCCCCTCTCCCGTGCCTCACATGAGCTTTCAGGGGAAGTAATCCAGTTGCAGAGCCACTCAGATTTGCTCTTTAAACTTGGCTCCACAGCTACGTGGCCAAATTAGTAATTTAAAATATCAGTGACTCCAATTGATAACAGTGCATCTAAATTCCAAAATCAATCTCCACAATAATCTACATGTTTCCTATTGCCAAAGGGGCCCTTTAGAGTAGTGAGAGAAGATTTTCACCCTGAAACCTACAACGCCCCTTTTTTTAAAATATTTTAATTTATTTCTTTTTCATTTCAATGAACATCTACAGAGATTTTGGTCACCCCCACCCCCCGTTTGCTCCTCTCCTTGAAAAGCAAAAGAAAAACTCCCTCATTGGTACACAATCCCCCTCCCGCACCTCCCCCAATCCCACCCCAACCCCAAATATAATCCACTCTGCAACCCTCATTGTGTACTCCTACGATAAACATAATGCCCTAAAATATAATACTTTTATACTATTCTCTCCCCCATAGACTTCAATGCCATAAACATATTTCATCCAGTTTTTCTCAGCCTTACCCCCACCCTGATGCCA